ATTTGACTGCTAACCAGAAAGCTGGTGGTTCAAACCCACCAGTCATTCCTCGGAAGGAAGGTTGGACAATCTGCTTCCATAGTGATACTGCCTCAGAAACCCCAAGGAGGGGTCACTATAAGTCGGATCCTATACCCATTTTTATAGAGTAACCAAACAATTGATGAGGAAAGTTTTTTGTAGAAGAACCATAGCTCATAAATGCAAAGGAAATGATAGAATTTTTTTAAATCACCATCATGGAATCCTTCTAAGCAACAATCACCAACAGCCGCTAAAATATTAGATGAAAAGATGATAAGGGCTTGATAATGGAGGAATCAGGCTGACGATACCCAAACCCACTGGTCATTCCTGTTGTTGTTGTTATGTGCCGTGAAGTCAGACCCGACTCATAGAGACCCTTCCTTGGGTTTCCGAGGCAGTATCACTACAGAAGTAGATTGCCTAACCTTCCTTCCGAGGAGTGGCTGGTGGGTTTGAACCACAAGCCTTCTGGTTAGCAGCCAAGTGCCTTAGGCACTATGCTACCAGAGCTCCCCTGGCCATTCTTAGCATCACTGAAAGCAAAGTGATCTAATCTCAATGGGATGCAACACCAAGTACTCAGCACCAAGTATTCCTACCAAAAAAAGTTGAATGTGACCCTAATCCAGCCTCCAGCACTAAGTATACCAGTTTACAGGAAACAGGATGGATAGAAAAATATGTTAGACAACAAATCTAAAATGTGGGAAATTCTAAGACCTATGTGCCAGGTAACTTGAGCAAATGAATGACCTAAAGTTGGGGGGAAGAGGGTTGTGATTAGTATAAAGAAACTTAAGGATGGTGTCAAGGACAGTATAACAACCTTGATTTTAGATCCTGTTTCAAACAAAAGAATTATAAAAAGATATAATTGAGATAATCAGGAAAAATAACCCTAACTATTAGGTATTAGGGCCCAAGGGGTTGGCCTCAGGCCTAAGGCAGTCACTGCAAGGAACTCTGGTAGCATAGTGCCAAGGGACTTGACTGCTAACCAGAAGACTGGTGGTTCAAACCCACCAGCTACTCCTTGGAAGGAAGGTTGGGCAATCCTACCTCTGCAGTGATACTGCCTCGGAAACCCAAGGAGGGGTCACTATGAGTTGGGGTCGACTCGATAGCACATAACAACAACTAGGTATTAGATGATATTAAGAATCACTGTTAATTTTGTTGGATAGGCTAATGATAAGCATTATGGCATGCTTTTTTAAAGAAAAACATGCTGGACTGTCCAAGTCAAAGTACAGTTTTCTAGGAATTGCTTTAAAAACAAAAATTGGGTGTGGGGCAGGGGTAGATGAGAAAGAATGGCAAAACAGTCACAATTGTTGAAGCTGGGTGATGAGTACAAGGGGATGAAACATGATTGTCTACTTTTTAAGTATTTTTGTAGTTCCATTAAAAAGTTTAAATCAAAACAAGGGGAAAAAATGAATGGATAGATGTTTGAAATGGATAGGCAGGCAGCAGGATTAAAGTATTGCTGTTGTAACAATAGCATCATGCAACTTGATGGCACACAACAATATATACACTATTTTTAATTTCTAAGAAGCATTAACTTTCATTTTAACTTAAAAAAAAAAAAAAAAAAACTGAAATGAAATCAAAAGAATTACTGAATGTCCAGTAATGTTATCGGTAATTCTCACCACCTCTCCTCCACAGCCACCACATAAACAAGAGTGAAGCACAGAGGTACAAGGATGCCATAGAGAGCTCCCACCAGGGAAATATCTGGATAGTGATGGAGAAATTCTGCAGGGAAAACTTCCATCAGGTTTTGAAATACAAACTAAGTGTGAGAGGTATTGATGACTATTTCTTGGCCACGTGGGATGTGCCTGTTCTATTTCTGTTAACAAAGGGAAATTAGTCCAGTAAGGACTTCCAAGTGGATGAAGGGTACACAAGACTTCAAAATGACAGCATTCAAACCAAAAAAAAAAAAAGAAAGGAAAAAAGATTAAAAAAAATAAGATTTGAGGAAAGCTAATTTCATCAAGTTCAGGACACTGATGAGAATGATCCAAAGTCAAGAAACCATGAAGTAAGTGGTGTATCAGGTGAGTAAACTTTACCTGTTCCCCTGAGGGTGGCACGACCTGCCCAAATGCCCAGACTAGTGAAATCCAAAACAAAAGAGAACTGAAAAGGCAGTAAGAAAGATCCCAAACTGGGATCTGATCACAAAAAAAGAAGAACAGCTTTCTAGAAAGGAGAAGAAGGGTAGCGAGTGTCACACGGTACCACTGAGAAGGGAGCCCAGGAGAGGAAGTTGGGGGACTAAGGTGCTGGGCCACCCACCTAGGCAAAGCACTTCACCTCTCATACAATCCCATCTGCAAAATGTGTTGAAAGAAAGGCTTGCCAGAATCCCTTCCCTGGTCCCTTCTCTCTAAATGAAGTCCTGGTTCTAAAACCAAAACCCAAATCTACTGCCATCAAGTTGATTCCACCTTATAGTGACCCTATAGGGCAGAGGAGAACTGCCCCATGGGGTTTCCAAGGCTGTAAATCTTTATGAAAGCAGACTGCCTCATCTTTCTCTCCCAGAGTGGCTGGTAGGTTTGAACCACCAACCTCTTGGTTGGCAGCCAAACACTTTACTACATCACCAGAGCTCCTTGTCCTGACTATCAAGATAATTAAACACAAGGAGCAAAGGTGAGGAAACCACCAGAATCTCAACTCAAGGGCACATTTTAAACTTGATTGGATGGCCCGCTATCAAATACTTTGGCTTCTAAGGAATGATAAGAGGTATTCTCCAGGATTCCTCAAGTATCACAATATACACAAGAAGGACAAGAAGGAAAACGAAGACACTCCTTCTGGCAAGGCAGAGAGTGCACAGGAGACATGTCACAGGCAGAAGAGACTAAACACCAGCAGTTGCTACTTTGACAAATCCATGGGCCTGGCACTAGGTGGCAGCCGCTCACTGGTATTCCTCATATTGTTTGTTCCACACATCCTCTAGAAGCTCTGGTAGCACAGTGGCTAAAGCACTTGACTGCTAACCAGAAGGCTGGCGGTTCAAACCCACCAGCTACTCCTCGGAAGGAAGGATGGGCAATCCCACTTCCGTAGTGATACTGCCTCGGAAACCCAAGGGGGGGGTTGCTATGAGTCGGGGCCAACTCGACAGCACATAACAACAACAACAACACATCCTCTGGACACCTGTGCCCAAGACTGACAGAGAACCATTCCTTAGCAACCCGCAATGTGACTTAATATTTCAATGTTAACTTAAAAATTAACATTTGAGTGTTTACTGTGCTCACTGTGCCATGTGCAACTCATGCACCATCTCTTAATACCCTCCCAGTGAAACAATCTTGAGGCACATATAATAATCTCCAATTCATGGTTGAGGAAAACTGAGGATCAGTGAGGTCAAGTCACTTGCCCGATGTTGCCTGGCCAGTGAGCCGCAGGGTTGAGCCCCTCGTGTCAAGAGCAGATGTCTTTGTTCCCTGTTGGAGAAAGGCTCCCAGTCACAAGAAAATCAATACTGGGCCCAGGTCCTCAGTCTTTTTAGTAATTTCTTTACAGGATGGGTCTTTCAATCCTAGGGTCAAAGGGCCTCTTGTCTCTGGCATGTTGGGCAGGCAGACAAGGGCGGGATTGACTCTGGACATGGTCATTTCTGCCTGCCTTTTCGTGGGCCAAGAGGCCAACAGAGATGACCTTACTGTCCAAGGTCAGCTCTTAAGGTGTCAGGCAGGTGGGCTGGAAGCCACTCAGCAGGAAACACAGTCCCAGTACTCTAAAGGCAGGGCCAAATGGGAGGGAGGCCCTGCCTGAGCCACAGACTCCTGCCCCTCACATCCAAGCCTGAAAAAGTGAACTTGAGCTTCTCACAACTCAGACTCAAGCCTGGGGAGAGGGGTTTCAGTTCCCTGAATCTTCTTCAAATATAACAAACAACCTGAACAGAAATGAGCTGACTCCCTTCCTGGCTCCAGTTCATGTAGTCATATATAAGTGATAGCAGTCTCAAGGAAATCATTTTGAAAGAAATCAAGCTCTGAAGACTCTTGTTCATACTCTTGTTCATCCTATACAGACCTGTAACAGATAAAGCCATGTAACCCTCAGACAGTGGAAAGTCTACTTGTGTTGGGAGGTAGAAGACCTGGTTTCTGGCACTGAATCTCCTTTTCTTGCCATGTTACCAATGCCCTATGGCCCTTTACCTTTACCTCTTTACCTCAGTGTCCTCACCTCTAAGTGGAGAAAAGCAGCCTGTTCTTAATTACCTCACCCAAGTGCTGTATAAAACAAGACCATACTGCTCATATTTCTTTCCTCTTCTCCCCAACCCCCAAAGGTCCAGGAGCACAAGCAGTTAAACAGCAACTTTCAAAGCCTGGCACATGGTGAGCCTTGTATCTCAGAGGGTTTTGCTGATGTTCTCAATAATGGTGACTCTGATAGGGCCAAAGGGAAAAGAAAATTCTTCTCCAGCAGATAGAAGGGCCTCAATCTTGCCTGCTCTCCCACATTTCCTAACAACACTGCTCACTCCCCAGAAAGATTCTGGATCAAGCCTGCCCAAGTCCTAAAGATGGTTTGAAAATACCAAGAGGAAAACACTTCTGCCCCTTCCCTACTCCACTTTCTAGAGGTCTTCCCTCTAAAGCAACCCCATGTTTTGATTCTTCCCTGTGAACTCTGCATAGGAGGCAGGCCTGTCCTCACACCATCTAGAAAAGACATGCATGTTCTTATATATGTGGCAATAGTGGCCACACAAATGCATATAAAAAAGCAACTGGCCATCTAAAGAGTAAACCAGTCTGAACTTGCCAGGCAGCTCCATGACAAATCACTGTACAAAGCAGGCCTGTGACCAAGACCAGGTGCACAAGCCTGGGCAGGAGAGGCTGCAGGGGGTAAAGCAGGCAACCCACTCTGAAGAGAGGAAGAGAGGGCAAAGGGCAAGGGCAGGGCTGTGCTCAGAGAACCTGTCGCAGGATGAGCTCCGTAATCTCCGCCCTGCTACCCAACCTCATCGGTATCCCATAGTAGGCCGTGCCTGGGCTGACATATACAAATGTACCCTGGGCCACGTGGTAAAGACCAGAAAAGAAGGGGTTCAGAAGATAAGCTGCCACATTCAAGGGGAAGATTTGGCCAGCATGTGTGTGCCCAGAAAGGATCAGGTTAATATCTGGCCGAGACTGTAGAGCTCTCTTGGCAGCCAGGGGCTGGTGAGCTAACAAGATGGTGGTGTGGTCTGGACTGCAGCCCCCCAAGGCCTTGTCGAGATCCATGCCGTGGCCAGAGTAGTGCAGGATATCTGCTTCAATATCGTCCACCCCAGCTAGGCAAATCCAGTCTCCATCTTCAGTACTGCCATACTGGGCCCCTGTTGCAGAAATCTTCACGTTCTCATTGTGAAGGGGCCGTACATGCAGGGATTCCAGCAGTGCAAACCAGTTGCTGACATCTGATGTATAGTACTCATGATTTCCAGTGACGAAGTAGGTGCCGAGGCGTGAATGAAGCTGGCCCAAGGGGACAACAGCTGTCCGTAGGACTGATGCTTCTGAATCAGACAGGTCACCTACAATCACTGTGACATCTGGCTCCAGCACATTTACCATCCTCACGAACATCTCCATCTTGGTCTTGCCCACTGTGGGGCCCAAGTGGATGTCTGAGAGGAGTGCAATCTTGAGGTTGTTCATAGAGGGAGGCAGCTGATAGATGGGTACCTCCACAGTTTTCACGGCTGGAGGCTGGGCAGCATTCAGAATCCCGACCACACTGAGCACAGCAGTCACTGCCACTGCGAGGGCAGGCCTGAGTGCCAACTTCTTTGTCTTGTCAAGGCTGCTGATGACCCTGCCACTGTGCCAGGCCAAGAGCTGGTAGGCCTGCTCCACACCACTGAGGATACAAAGGAAGAAGAGCATGATGACGTATGCCCCAAGGCAGGAGTAGGCTGCCAAGGAAAAGAGATAGGGCTCTTCAGCCACTAAAAAGAGCATGGTGAAGAAACTGGAGTGGGCCAGGGCAAGAAATGTCACAACAGCCATCTTCCAAAGCCTAAAGCACGCAGACTCTGCAGCTGGGGAGTGGCAAATGTTGCTCACTGCACTATGCCAGATGTAGAGGGAACCAATGAGCATAAGTGAGTTGACAAACAGGGCAAGCTGTAGGCGAAACAGCCAACGCCAGGCCCCAAGCTCCAGGCTCCCTGCCAGATAGGAGCGGGAGATGACCATGGACATGAAGACAGTTCCAGCAGCCAGGGCAGCCTTCACACCCAGGGACAGCTGCCTGAAGATCGCCATTTTCTCAGCTCCTAGGAGGGTCCCTTGCCAGTTCTGTTCAGGCAGGCTCTGGAAGGTGAGTTCCTTAGATAGGACAGTGGCCAAGGAGAGGTTTCCAAGTCAACTCCGCCTGTAACCAGGAACCGGCGTCAGCTTTGTGGGATATTAGAGAGTCCTTGTCCCCATTTAAAACCTGAAGTCCACTTAGGTCTTTCTAAACTGCCTTGATCTAAGTCACTCAAATACCAGTCAGTTGCTATACTTTATTATAAAAGTACAAACACAAAGGACTGTGATGTGACAGGCCATCTTCATTTTCTTACCTATAGTTTTCTGTGTGTTTACCCCCACCCGTCCACCCCCTAATGCCAGGCACCTCCATCACAAATCACTGTTCACACCAGGCTTGTAACCTGGGGCACACTGGCAGGGCTGACTTTTTTTTTTTTTTTTAACAATAAAAAAATTATCCTAAATGAGTAGTTCTCCAAGTATGGCCCAGAGATTCTTGGGGGTCCCCAAGACCCTTTTAGAGGCTCATGAAGTCAAAAGTATTTTCAAATAATGCTATGCCATTACTTCCTTTTCCAGTCTCATTTTCTCAAGTGTACAGTGGAGTTTACCAGAGGCTACATGACATATGATATAGCAACAGGCTGAATGCAGATGCGGGTGTCATCTATTAAGACAGACATTAAAGAGATCTGCAGAAATGTAAAATAATGCCACCGTTCCCAAAATTTAGGGGGGAAACTTTGTTATTTTTCATAAAAATGATAATTTTATTAACATGTAATAAATTATTTTTAAAATAAATTAACAAAATTTTAAAAAATCTCAGCTTTAATTTCTAATATGGCTAATGTTGGAGAACTGCTCTTCTTCTAAATAAATGCAAAGAAGGAAATAATGCAAAGTGAGCTCAGACTCACAGATCTCTTTCCTCACCTCTCAGCCCGTAAGGAACACCAAGACACCTGATACAAGAATTCCTAGGAAACAGCCTTGTGTGGGCTTTCGGGATGACTGCCACAGAACACCCACCCACTGAATGATGCTGCACAAGATTAACGTGCAACCACCACCCAGGGGCTGCTCTGTCCACTACCTCCTCATCCCTAAATCTGTATGTTTCTACTCCCTCTCTCTCTTCCCCCAGACACTGGTTAACATCTGCCTCTCTCCACTTACTTTGCCACTGTTCCCATGAACTTCCTGTTCCTCATTTCTACCCTCACTAGAGTTCTCATCTGATCCCAGGGTCTCCCAGATAAGACACCTACACCTAAAGACCAAACCAAACCCACTGCCTTGGAGTGGATTCCAACTCACAGTGACACTGTAGAACAGAGTAGAACTGTCCCCATAAGGTTTCTAAGGCTATAAATCTTTATGGGAGCAGGCTATCACATCTTTCTCCCCTGGAGCAGCTGGTGGGTTCAAACTGAAAACTGTTTTTTGGTTAGCAGCAGAGCACTTTAACCACTGTATTTCCAGGACTCCTTTTGAAAAGACACTTACTCTATAAAAACGGGGGCAGGGGTACCACTGAAGGACTAAGGGACAGGAGAAGAGGTAGCAAATACTCAATCTGAGGCAAGCTTTTCCCAAAACGAAAACATTTTGAAAGCTGTTTTGCAAATACTTGAGATTTTTTAACATTGGTTTTAGATTAATTCATTAATTTATCTGCCCTAGTCACGTTACCGAAAGGTTTTCAAAGGCTTTTATCAAAGGGTATAATTTACAAATCCACACGCTCAAATTCCACCACCTGCTATCTAAAACTAACCCTAGACTCAGTCCACCCAATTCTGGAGGAGTCCAAGGTCGTTCGCTGAACGTGCACAGCGGCAAGTGCCTGTTTCAACTGCCCGCACTCCAGGCACGTGTGATGGTGACCTCCCCATGCAGCGCTTTGAAGCCGCCTCCGGGTCACTGCCGGGAAATACAACCCCTGACTTAGCAAGGACCGGTGGCCTGCAGCTCTTTTCCTCTCTCTAGCCAAACAAGCGCGTCCCCACGCTCGCCCCGCCAGACGACATCCCGCCCTCAACGATGGCGGCCACCTCCAGCAGGCCTCCCGTCCACACTCAAGCTGGACCGCCGAACCCAGAAGGAAAGGGGCACACGAATGAGATGAGAAATCAAGTCAAAATGTAGGCGGCAGGGATTAGCGAGACGGGGATGCCTGAAAAGGCAGCACGCCTCAAAGAAAAACAACTCAGTGCTCTCGTTGCGGGAGACTCTCCTGACCCCATTTTTCCCCTTCCGGAGCTCTGCAGAGTAATGCCTAAGGCATCTGACTGCTAACCAGAAGGCTGGCAGTTCAAACCCACCAGCTCGTAAGTAAAGTTGGGCAATCTACTTCCGTAGTGACACGCCTCGGAAACCCAAGGAGAGGTCGCTATGAGTCGGTCCGAGTCCACGGCAGTGAGTTTTTGTTTTTGTTTGGAGCGCTCAGCAGAGCACGAACTGGACAGAGGAGGGCGCCCCAAGCCAGAGCCAGAGGAGTCCTCCAAGAACGCGCCCAACTTGGAATCCCCGTCCTGGAAAACTCCAAAGCTGGAAAGGTTTGGGGAGTACCTTATCTCAGCCCCTCGTTTCACGGATAGGCAAATGCATCCGAGCGAAAGAGCTGCCGAGGCGCATTATAGCCAGAACAGGACTACCGGGAAAGAAGCACTCCCCGTCCGGCCCGCCCCTGACTGGAGGTCGGGACCTCTGCCCGCGCTCCTCCAGCTGCCTGCGTGCCGAACAAAGGGGCATGGAGTAAATGTGTGCTTCGGGGTCCTAGCCTCCCCGCCCCGCGGCACCCCGCGTGGCCGCAGCCTCTGCTCGGCTCCAGTCAGTCAGCATGTCCGCCATCAGTGCGTCCCCGCGCGCTGGGCCCACGGACTTACACAGAAGCCGCGCGCCGAGCCCAGCAGCAGTGGCAACAGCAGTAGAGAGAAGATGCGAACCATGAGCCCCGTCATGTTCACCCTCCGACCTCCGGGCTCGCTGTGGACGCAGAGACCAGCAGCTCGGCGTCAGCTGACTGAGTACGACCCGCGGCCTGGCGCCAGCCCAGCCGCCAAGCCCGGCCCTAGCTCCGCCCCGCGTCCCGCCCCGGTGTCTGCAGAGCGTAGATGGGTATTGGAGGAGTGCAGGCTGGGCGATCCTAAGGGCAGCCTCGTGACTGTCAAGATAGGGTTATCTGGATTTTACTGGAGTTTGCCAGATGGAGGGAACCCCTTGGAATAGCAATCTGAAGGTCTTTCGCTAGCAGTTTAATAACGCGTCCGGAGGTTGTACATGGACAAGGTCCTCCTTGCTTCCTGGCTTCCTTGAGAGGACGGAAGGTGAAAAGGAGAGTAGTTAAGTCTAAGCGGACTAGATCCTAACCTTACACGGAGAGCTCTCTGCTAAACTTTAAACTGTTGTTGTTGTTGTTGTTGTTATGTGCCGTGGAGTCGGCCCCGACTCATAGCGACCCCTCCTTGGGTTTCCGAGGCAGTATCACTACGGAAGTAGGATTGCCCAACCTTCCTTCCGAGGAGTGGCGGTGGGTTTGAACCACCAGCCGTCTGGTTAGCAGGCAAGTGTCTTAGCCACTATGCTACCAGAGCTCCCAACTTTAAACTAGGGGTTCTCAAAATGCGGTCCCTGCATCAACTGTATCAGAAGTACCTGGAATTTGTTAGAAATGCAAATGCTGGGACCCAACTCAGAAAGTAGATAGAAAACTCTGGGGATGGGGTCCAGACCAAAACCAAACCCGCTGCCGTTGAGCCTGACTCACAGTGACTGTAATCTTCAGAAGAGGAGCTCTGGTGCCATGGTGATTAAAGCATTCGGCTGATTTACAGCCTCGGAAACCCTATGAGGCAGTTCTGCTCAGTCCTGAAAAAAAAGAGTCGCCACGAGTTGGGATCTATTCTTGGCAGTGGTTTGGTTTTTAGTTTTTAATTTTTAGAAGCACAGTCTCCCACAGAGAGCCTGGTGGGTTGGACCCTGTGACCTTTCGTTTAAAAAGGCCAGCAGCCAGCACTTAACCACTGCCCACCAGGGCTCCTTGGGATAGGGCCCAGCAACTAGTGTTTTAATCTGTACTTTTAAAAACTACTCAGGTTATTCCGATGCATGCTAAAGTTTGAGACCCATTGCTTTAGGCTACTGACAAAGTTAGCGGTGTGATTCAACTGCGGCAAAATCACCCCCAACGGAAACCCCCAAAGCACCGGGGTCTGTAGAGCGCTTATTTCATGTGGAAGGGTAGGTGCAGCAGCACCTTTCAAATTTGTACTTGATCCCTGTGTGCAGGCAGACCTGTCAAATGGGAATAAAGTAGTATTGTCCCTATTTACACTAAAGAGAACCGAAGCTTGTCCAGGATCGCTGGTTAGGGCCAGAACAGAGTCTGACATTAAAGGCTAGGTGGTAACTGGCTGGTTCTCCACCCTCTCTGAAAATTCCGCCTTCCAGTTATTCTGTAAATCTCAGCTTTGAAAGAAACTTTCAGAGGAAAGAAATTTTAGAGAGATGGCATACATAAAAATATAACTATATATATCATCTGTCTGGACAACGTCCAACAGCATATATGTCTGTAGTCCCATAGGGTTTTGTTTTTGTTTTTGTTGGCTTTTTAAAGGGAAAGCCCCTCTCCTTTTGTTTATTATTTCCCCTTAGTGATTTGAAGAAGCTACTTGGTGGCAATGAGTTTGGTTTTGGTTAATGGATTTAAAGACCCCAAATCCAGACTCCTGCTGCACTGGACCATGGGTGGGATACAGGCAGATGAAGCAGAGGACATGGCTCTAAGCATCAGCTCTCCGCCCGTTGTCTGTGTAGGCAGCAGTGGGAACTGTAGGCGGGGCGGGTAGGCTGCTTCTGCTGCTCATGTGGTCAGAACAGACCCAGCTATGTGTGCACCACTACCTCCCCTTGCTTTCTCTGTCTGGGCTTCTGCCTAGGCCCTCTCAGCCACCTCCAAAGCCACTGCCCTTTCCTCCAGCTTCTGCTGGCAGCTCTAGTAG